TAGCACAGCAAGATTAACACCGGATTCATAGGAGTGGTTAATTCAGCGGTGGTAATATATAGAAGAAAGAATTAGTTTGTAGAAAGAAAGATACGAAGCGATTTTATTATCTTAGTTTGAAGAAAGACAGAGAGTATATACACCGACGCCATTGTGATCGATTCTGAGCCATGTCACCAAGAGTCTCCAACCATTGGTTACGATAGTCACGCGGACCCCAACCAAGTAGTCTGCATCTGCCAACATGGCTCAGACCAGAAGTTAGTGACTTCAAGCACTGATGCCACGTTCTGGTTTGACCGCCCCTAACTTTCTTTCAAACATCTACGACACTAGTCGGCATTGCGCGTCGTGGTAATCGGTGTTCAAACATACGCAACACGTGGCTCAACCATCTCAGTTGATGAAGATTCACAACCTCATCGACTGATTTACCACCATTCCCTAATACCCTGCAACTAACCTCACTATTACTTACCCGGTGATCCCAGCAGATGCGAGCAATATTTCTAAGACATCTGTGGTCAAAAACTAGTAGGTTACCTGTATTTTCTACTCTTAATTGCGACGTTTCGCAGCCGTAAAGCAAAACAGACATTGTTAAATGAAATGAAATGCTTTCAATCTCTAGATACAAGATCTTCTAAATATGTACTGATTTGTTTAAATCAATAAAATCTTTTACAAATGTAAGTTTGTATCCAATGTGCATTAAATTAAATCACCTTACTCTTTTAAAAATAGATTATAGTTACTCTCAATATAAATAAAAGTTCCTTATATATAAATGTGTGAAATAATCAAGGAGATATCATGACATTATTGAACAAAAGAAACATGTGGTATTTGTTATAATTACAGTAGAGAAAAGTAAAGTTGATAGTAATTGTTTTATTGAATCCTAATCTTTTGGTGAAACTTTTTTTAAGAACAATGTTGTATTAAATAATTTTATACACATAAAATTACAAAGAAATTTTCTGAAATCGGAGATTTAACCGCATATAAACTTTTGATTCAGTAAAACACCAATCTCTTCATGATTTATTTGAGGTCAGAGTTATGAATACAAATAGACTAATTTTTTGCTTAAAAAATTGACTGTTTATATTTCTTTTGAAAATATTTCATCTCTTTATTTTTTATACACACAGTACTAATTAACAAGAATTAAATTAAACATTTTGGCTTAATGAAACAAAACTCAAGCAATTAGCACATTCAATGACAACGTAGATTCAAACAAAGAAGTGATTAGTCTAAAAATGAATTCTTGGAGTTCTGGTGAGAAGCCGTGACCAGTGGAGCTAAGCCGTGTCGGGTAGAGACAGGTATTTACCTCAGTACAATGGAAGATGGTCGCGCAATTTCATGGATTGGTTGATGTTAGACACTAACACCGTTGGATGCCGGCTCAGTGGTTCAGTACGTTAAGCGTTCGCGAGCGAGACTGAAGGCCCTGGGTTCGAATCCCGTGAGCAGGATCGTAAGTGGGCACTTCTGAAGATTCCTATACTATGACGAGACGGCCGTCCGGTGCTTCTAGGTTTCCAATGGTGCTCTAACATCAATCGGTTCATGATCTCAATTAAAAAGAAATCGTTTGGAGAAATTGACAAGACATTCTCTCCAATTATGTTTTTTGTTGGACATAGTTTCTCAAGAAATATTTAACACATATTCAATAGTCATTTTTTGAAATTTATGTACAGTAGTTACAATATAAATGCAAAACCTGATCTTGCTATTCATTATAATTTTTTACAATGATGTTTTTTATTGGTTTATTCAAACAAAACTATTTCTCATTCACCAGCCAGAAAAAAACAATTCGTAACATCAATATTTTAGTATTTTGCTTAGCAGTTATTTCTTAGTAATTTTAAAATGGAGAGAATTATTTATAAAGAAGAACTATTTCATCACATCAGATGGAAACCCACAAGATTTCTTTAATAGTTACTAGGATTTCCATAATTTAAACACACCTTTGGACATATCATAAATGCATCTGTTTTTATTAAACTGGAAGAATAGTTTTCAACTTTAGTTATATGAGTTCGAAAGTTTAAATGCATGGAATCACATATAATTAAATGTAGTTTAGATTTCAATCTACCATGGCAGTTATATGACATTAAGTTGCCATCATGTGTTGGGTATTTATCAAGAAATTAACTAACCGTGGCAAAGTGACTGTAGTGTGAATTATAGCAGAAATATATATGTCTAGAAAAAATGACTCGATCCAAGTAAAATCACGTCGAATAATCGATTACCAACAGCATCGAGGCTCTTACTTGATGTAATCAGTTACTGATGTTTTAGGGCTGACGTTTCTCAACAATTCCTGTATGAATGCTTGTTTAATAAACATTATTTATTCATAATTATACAAATAGTTTGACGATGATTAAATCAGAGTTAGTTTATAGACAGATAATTTTTGCATTTTTGTAATTGGAACTACTCAAACATAAGTAGGGAAATGATTGAAACTTTAACTTTGAGTACACAGTTAATTCTTTTATGATTGATCAGCGACCTCAAACCCACAGGCAACTGATTTTCAAATATACAAATACAGTAGCAATTATTTTTATTTTAAACTTTTTATAACCATTGTATAAATGTAAACGTTAAGTGGGAAATGTTTATTCATATAAGTTTCAAGCAACGATGCACAATTACCTTGAAACCTATGCATCGAATACATTATCCGAAGATCCGCAAAAGTCTTGAATATGAATAAAAGGTAATCACTTTGAAAGAATTATTTAAATATTGATAGATATTTAAAATTCCAGCGTATACTGATGATGGGATTTATATAATAGAACGTATCATTTACTGAAATTTACCGCTTATGATTTAACTCTATTCACGAACAATGTATTTATTATTAATTTGTTGTGTTATTTAGATAAATGCAGGTCAAAACGTTCTAGTAAATTAATAGTTGAATTCATTACACAATTAAAGCTAAACCACCATGGAAAACTGGGAAGCACTAAACGGCCGTTTCGTTCTAGCATGGGACTCAGCAGTGCGCATCCACGATCCCGCTCGCGAGATTCGGACACAGGACCTTCGGTCTCGTGCACGGGCGCTCAACCTCTAGACCATTAATCCGACTTCTAGCAATAAATCTATTGCTTTTATTCACCGAGCTAGAAAACATATCTTATAGCTAACCCCGAAGTTGGACTACCCCACTAGGTGTTTGACTGCAATTGTAAACCGGTTTTGAGTGCTGTTAAAGGTATGAAAGCGCTTATCACTTCCCGGTCGCCCACACCGTGGAAAGGTTATTATGAAGGTATCTGGAAGAAAATTGGTTTGGAGTTGGTCTTAATGACCTGACAGCGTAACTGCAGTTCCCAAGGGACAACTGATTGAGGTCTGTCACACACAACTTTCTTGTGGGTAATTTTGTGTTAGCTCCGTACTTGTTGAGACCATACCATCAGAGACGGATATCCGTCGGATAAGGCCGATAAGGTCGACCTTTCCTAACCCCTTCCCTCTTTGTGGGAAGGCAGTGTCGCTAATATGCTTGTTGTCTGAAGGAAACACTTTGCTGCCGTCACACCTCTGTACAGTCAGCAGTATAACTCCGCCCTCAGACCTTGGGTTTTCTGCCTTTAGTCCTACTGTTCTTCAACCGACCTGTCTGGCATGGTAGGACTTTGATCAACAATTGTTCAAGCCAGTATAGCTCGATTGATTCATCACGATAGGCAAGCCCGGTCACCACGTCAAGGTAGCAACACAGGTCGGGTAAAATACGTATACACGGATTGATCCCAGGACAAGGTTAGATAGAGTGCTGGTGGTGGCCTATGCTTCTTCACGAGGAGTAACTGGCGTAAGTAAGTTATCCGCGGATTGATATGCATTTTTATCCATATTAAATTTACACTCTGAGGGTATTATTTCAATGATTATTAATCAATACAAACACAATAAATCTAAAAGAATATTATGATTTAATAAGTGACCATTTTATCAAACGTCTAGTTTGTTTATGTATTGCGAACTTATTATAACTGCTTGAAACCTTGGTTTTTATTATTGAAAAGAAACAATTTTAACTATTATTTATTTGATGGTAGGTTTTATAAAGTAAAACCATCAACTTAATTATAGCAGTTAGAGCTAGGATTGTTTTTTTAACATGTTTTAATATGGATGAAGCCGCCTAACGTTACCCTAGTTTTCAATCGTTTTTATTTCTATATTTTGGCAAATGTTAGTTATACTGTTGCTAATTTATGTTAGTAGTAATACTCTGTATAACAAAGATTGTAACACATAGGGTACAGTGTAGAATTCAATTACTCATAATAATGTTTGATATAAATAACTGTGTAAAATATATTAGGATATTTTACAATCTATTAATTTTAGTGAAAACATGTTATAGCTCTATTAACAAAACACTTTCATGTTAATCGTTTGAGGAACAATATAATCTATCAAAAGATGGATCAAAAGCATAACCTCACTTAATTGGTATTAGTGACTTTTAGGCAACAGAGTTGCAGTAGACATTCTAAAGGAAACTTTCGTGATCATCATATAATGGTAAAATAAAAAACAGTAGTTTGAATTTCACTTACATCTTAGTAAAACATACTTAAATTATTCATGAACCCGAAGGTATCCTTGAATAGCTTTTATGGACATCAGGTAACATCAAATAATACAGGTCTGTTGAAGTATACAAAAGTATCTATTGTTATAAAAAGTATTGGACACCAAGTTTTAACGATTATTATATTCATACTATATTTTATTATCATCTGAAAGATTGTAACAATATTCCGGATCCCAATAGGCAAGTTATTTCTAATGTCTTAAAGTACCCAATAAGATTAAATTTATATCTTAACTCTAAAACTAAAATTTTTTTTATGAATCATGCATCACTTGTTTTTAAAGAAAAAAGGTGAATGCATTTAGTAGAATAATAAGTTAAGCTAGAAAAAACAGCCTACCTTCAATGAATTCAATACGATAGTCACTAAGTGGCCAATTTTCAACAATTTTTGTTGAAGATTTAATCATTGTAGATGGCATTGAAAATGCCCAAGGAGATGAATATTTACTATTAGATACTTTCCTATGATTAATTAATTTTTTATTAATTACATCTTGATTCAATGAATATTTATACAATGATGATTTGTTTGAAACAATTTTAGTTATTGGAAATCTATCATCAGTAACATTATTAGGTGTAATAATTGTTACAGGTAATGATTTATCATGATTTATATCAGTTATTGATTTTGACAGAAAGTCAATTTGATTTGCACTCTCATTCACAATATTTTCTGTATGATATTTATCGGCTTTCAAACTTTCATAAGCATGATTCTCCACGTTTGTATTTTCTTCGACATGGTGAAATGATTCATTATTATTGATTACATTTTGTTCGCGATGATTGTTGTAATGATCTTCTTCATTAAATAATAAATCACATTGAATAAACAAACTATTTAACGACACTACGGTTAACAATATTATTGATGTTGAGAGTAAATTATGATAACTATTTAAAAGCAGTTTCATTTGTAATTGATTGAACACATTTTAAACTCCAGTTGATAAGATACGAAATTATATAGTTCAAATATAATATTAAGTTAAAAAAAAAACAATAACTATACACATTCAATAATGAATAAGTACAGTTTTCACTTGAGAGCAACTAATATAATCTTTCATTTTCATCACAAAATGTATATCCATATACTTTATTTTGTTTGATCACGTTTGTACTATCTGCCAGGGAATAACTTTGAAAATAAAATAAGCAATTTTGTCAGGATTGTTTACAAGCATCTTTAAACAGTTAAATGATTGGTTGAAATATTGATAAACAATGTGTTCACCATTGAAATTTAAGAAACAAAAAAACACAACAGTGATTTTTCATAAAATAAATACCCACGTACAAGTTGAAACATTGAATATGTGTAAAGAAAATAAATAGTTGTGTTTTGAATAATGTTGATTTCAATAACAAAATTAAGTAATGAAAACACTTCTTGTTCGTCAATTGAATGTCTTCATAATAATTGATTTTACCTTAGAAACCAACAAACAAATAAAACAAAAGAAAGATAAAAGTTAAAAAGTTCATAATTAAAACTAATTAAAACCATGTGGTATTTTAAAAATAAATAAATAAATAAATCAAATGAATTAAATCTATTGCCAAAATTTGGATTCGATTTATAATCTATCATGAATTTTCAATTATTAGAAACAAAAATAAAACATATGACACTACCTGTATAAAAATAGTTTAATCACGGTCTACTTAGATTAAATGGAACCTCTATACATTTGAAACAGTATACTTTCTACGTCATAATTATACAACAGTTGTTTTATATATCTAAGGTATGAATGTAACAATTAATACTTTTCTTTTTGTAACTAGTACTATTTGCTGATTGGTCAATTTGGTGTAATCATGAAAACATGAATTGACCAATAGTAGTTTAGATAACTTTTTTTAATTAAAGTAATAATTATTACAAATTATTTACAGACAAAAATAATAGAATCGTATGAATTATAAAAAAAAGATATGAATTGTTAATATAAGCAGTCATTAACAAATAGGTCGAATGTTCATCTTTAAAATGTGCAAAAATCGAGGGTTTTTTTCTCTCTTTTATTCTGTTGTATAACTTGAAAGAAATGATTTAATTTACATTGCGTTAAATTGAATTATTTAAAGGCATATCTTGTTTCCACATAACTGTTAGAACTTGTGTCATGTGTCCTATTAATGTATAACGTGATCATACTGTCAATAAGAGAACAGTGAATTAACGACCGAACCAATGACGCATATAACAAGTACGAGCAGTCTAGAGCCTCGCTTCCCGATTAGCAGTGGCTGTTAAATTCAGAACACCGATCTCACTCTCTGTGATATGAATCACTTATTTCAATGATACTAGGTTTATATATCAACCTGACAGACCATATCGTACCATAAAAGAGGAAACAATACTTGTACAAGAATTAGCCAAAAGTAGCTGTGAATGTGGGAGGTAGTAATTGATAGACTGGGTATAACTCAAGAATGATAAATCGTATAATAAAAGTTCATGGGTCAAAATAAAGCTCATAATAATAGAGACATATATATGAATAGTTTAGTTACTTAACAATAATACGATAAAAATGTATGTATAGTATTGGTCCATAAATGGATCCCAAAAGTTACCATTCATTCTCATCGGGATATAACAATTACTTAATTTTTATGATCCATAAAAAAACGCACGGTTTTTCTAAATATTGCAAGACTATAAGTTAAGAAGGTATAGCTTTCTGTTTTCGGAATTTTTCGATATCGTAAATATTTTATTTGTTTCTCTGAAATGTCAACATTTCATAGGCAGTAAATATGAGCTTACCATTTATTTTTGATAATGTTCAATTCAGGATTAAAATCAATATCTGATTTCTGAATAGTAAGTAATGATGACCAAATGATTATATTCTCTAAAACTAAAAACAGCCCTTAGCATCTTATATACAACTACATTATACATTATATGTATTAGGGTAATAACTTGGTTACCTTATTGATCGTCCCCTTGGTCAATCATATTCGCTGTGATTTCAGCCAATACATTTCATTTTTCGGATTTTTGAAGTTTGAATATGCTAATATTAATGTGAGAAGGTGATGTTTTTTAAGTGAGCTACTTAAGTCAGTTAGTCGAAATGTGCAAAAAAGTTAGATTACAGACTTGCAACTTTATAAATGAAATTCCTAAACCGTTTATGCTGTTTATTTCTCAACATAAATTTACTGGTAGTTGTGCCTCAAATTGAGAGGAAAGGTGAATAATTATTTTTATAGCAGCAATATTTATTTTCTGGGGCAATGAGAATGTCTAGAACACAAACCGTAAAATCGAAATTCAAATGTTAAGCAGAAGTCGACGGTTATCGATTGACTTTCAGAAAATTGAAAGTGAAACTTAGTGGAATTTTTCGATAAGTACAATTGATTAACAAGATACCTCAATTATACTTCAACAGTGTTTCATTGTATATCATCATATACCCAACTTGCTGTCACATGTAGTGCATCTAAAACTCATATAATGACATCAGTTTCAATAAAATCATAGTCATAAATTTTGGAAAATTATTTTTATTTGGCCTTTAAAAAGTGATCACTAGTCTTTTCATATTTAACGATTTCTTAGTTTATTCTCTATGATTTAGTTGGTTTTTTAGAAATCAAGGAGACGCAAATTCTTGATTAGCTATATGATTTTTACAGTTAATTTGTGTGAATTTTCGAAAAATCACAAAACATGACAAATTACTTGCCTAATGTTTTGTCTTTTAGATATTTCCCATAATCTTTTATCTCCCAGTAGCTTAAAATTTTCACATAGTTGTTTAGATATTTCTATATATTAGGAAATAAAACGATCATTATTTTACGCTTTCATAGAACATATGATTCTGTAAATATTTTTAATATATATTTATAGATAAACAGACTGTGTACTGTTCACACGTTATCGGAATATAAAAATGTGTCCAACTTGAAAAATTTATAATTTTCCCCAACTACTTGATCTTAATATAACACTTCCTAATAAAATTAATCTGTCAATGTATTCTTATCATTTAACTTTTATCGGAGGAAATGTCTTATCGTAATGAAGAAACGTTGTTGGTTAGATCCATGTTCACAGCTTTTGATAAAGATGGTAGGTTTTTGCAGTTGTGAATGATTGATTACAGTGGTCCTCGGAAGAATTTTTCAAATAGATGATAAAAATAGACTTTTTAATAGATGCCGGAAAAGCCGCTTTATCTATGCATAAAAATAAATACAAATATCCTACAGATATTATTGTCTGGATTCATGCTTATAAAAATTTGAATGGTATAACGAGAAAAACCAAGTATAACCTCAATACATTTTACATAGGTTTTGAAAGTCATGGATGGAACGACTCCACTATACACGATATGTACTGACTACAAAATCAAAGAAACCTTTAGAAATTATATATAACTGGACTACGATCGCATTTGCTACGACTCTACAAACATCAGCTGTGTTAACATCCCATGATCAGTCTCGTTTAGCAAAAGAAAAAACGACACACAGTAACTCATGAAGCATTCAAAGTACAAAATTTAGTAAATTTCTTTATTAAGGTAGAATGTTAACCATTGTATATCTTGAAATATATGCTCTTGTTTATCTTACTCAACAAATCAAGAAAATATTATGAATTTATATTTTTAAGGATCAAACTATTATATTAGTTTAACTATAATTACATGTAGATTTTAATGGCTGAAATAAATATATCTTATTTTTTCATCTATTATAATTAATGAACGTTGGTAAAGTGTAAATTACAAATATCTATTAGTAATAAAAAATACATTCGTATTCACAAAATCAGAGTGAACTAAACAAATTGTTCCGAGAAAGGTGATCTACTTTCAATGATATAAGATTTCCATTATTGATTTATTGCAATTATAAAATGTAAATACAAATATCACCGATTTATATGAAATATGTTTATTTATACTTGAATAAATTTGTTCGATAGACAATAAGAGAGAAATTAATAGTTCATGGATTGTTTTCATTGCTTTAGTTAACCAATATGTTGTCAAAAATTATAGGATTATAGAGGTGAGTCTATTCAAATTTTAGTCATCTTAATCCTCTTATGTCAGTGTTTTGTAGGAACTTTTATAGTTCAGAAAAAAAAGAATTGAATGTTATTGATAATACGTTGGTAAGTTTTGAGGTGGACGTTCATAAAGTCGAGACTTATGAATTTTAGAATATAGCACATAGGCAGCAACATAGTTCTTAAGAGATAAATCTTACAACTTAAATGCGTCTCAATAATAAAACAACATTCGTTTTGAAAGCTATTAACTTCGTAAGTGACTCCATTTTATGATACATGATAATTGATTTCAGTGGATGATATTTTTAGTTAAAGAATAACATAGTGAGTGATATCTTTAGATATAACATATCTAAGTAATTTGAGTACATAGTCCCTGACTTTGCAAATCATTATCTTCAAATGAAATTTCTAGTAGTCTCTTTCAAGACGAATTATTAGTATTACGTCGATTGTTTATAAAAAAATATGCAAGCTTTAATAATAATATAAAAATATATGTTCATACGGATACATATACAAAGCTAATCAGAAATATATTACTGAATATATAGAACAAAACCGAAAATTCTTTGGAATTATAACTGATTCAAGTCAACGAAACAGATTTTTTTATTAGTTGAAATCATGAGTCAATTAAACCTAGACCACCATGGTAAACCTGGAAGCACAGGACAGCTGTTTCCTCTTTTTACGAGACTCCTCAGCAGTGATTATCAACGATTCCGCCTGACAAGATTCGAACTCAAGACCTATAGGTCTCGCACGAGAACGCTTAACCTCTAGATATTTTTTGTTTAATAATACAGGAATACGACACCATAATCGGAAAGTATGTAATTAATTTATTTGATTAGA